ACTGTGCCCAAGAGTCCTTGTCAGTCTGGGCCTAGTTCGTTACTTCCCTCTTCTTGAGGCAAGCAGTACCCGAAAGGGGACTTCTGGCGAAGTTACACACCAAGTCATGACCGAAGCGAAGTGCTGTTGCGGATTGCCTGTGGAAGTTGTCAGTCTTCGGTGTTGCGTCACGGCTAATGGATCCAACTGATGTGAATGCAAGGTTATGAACGAACACGTAACCTGTGGCTACAGTTCAATCGTATTATTTTTCAAGCGAAAGTGAAGCCGACGTCCTTCACATCTGTATAACCATTTCACAAGATAGCCCCACATCCGATGAGGAGTGACCTCCCTTAATTACACGCCAGACACATCCATTACCTAGTGTGCTACCCACTGCAAAGTGAGTACCCCTGGGAAAACGAAATTGTCATTTCCCATGGCGGCCTATTTTGGACAAGACGAGAGTTACCGCGTTTACGGTCATTAACTTGATCTGATGTTGCTTGATGGTAGACAAAGTCTGGGTAATCTTTAGGAAGTAAACACTTGTTTGTAGCATAAGTTCCCTTCATTCCCATAAGTATTCTTGTATGCATGCCCTATTATCGTGTCTCCACTTTCGACCATCAAGCCTGGTAGAGCAGGTATATGGTAGTTAATCGCCTATTGCCGGTACCAGTGGTCTATTGTTGTCCACTCCAAACGACACTAAATGCCTTGTTCCTCTAACTCTAAGTGGTCGATCGTTTTTCCTTGGTTTCTTGTATTCTTCAGTCATTGAAGCGTCGTATGCGTCGCCAAATCATTGGGCGTCGTAGTGGTGGTAGTTGTAATGGATCGCAGCCTGGTGTCACTACTGTATCCCAAATTCCCGGTTCCTGTGATTGTTTGACCAGTAGGACACTCCTCAGGAGAATGGCTCATCTGGAGCGAATCGTGAAGCAGCTGCAAAACGAAGTTAATGAGCTGAAAAACATCAAGTCAGAGAAAAGCACTGATAAACCGATCGCGGAAATGGAGACGAAAAACCTCAGTGACCATGATCGTTTGGTAAGTATCCAAGCTATTTCCGGGTGTTTTATCCATTCAAGCCCACTAATTGATTCACCTACTTTACCTTCTGACTGCAAAAAGCCTGATCTGGCATTTAAGTCATAACATGATTGAAGCAGAGAGCTTACGAATCCCTCCATCGAGTAGCTCTGTACGGGTGGTTGAAGTCCACTCTTAGTGGGGATGAAGTGTTATCCAAAGCCACGTGGAAGTCTAACACTTACGTGGTCTTTAATTGCATTCTCGGAACGGAGAGTTGTTCGGTCACAATCCAATCTCAATCACGTAACTACCACGTAACCTCGAGAAATACACTCATTTACAAATCAATTTGTCTTTCACCAGAGACAACTGAATCTCTTGCTTATGATATTCTACAACTGAATGTGCTGCACACAGGCCACCTCATGATTCAGTTGGCACGATATTCTAGATATCGCAGTATATTTTCATAAAGGAAACTACTCACAAGGTTGCTGAAAACCCTTCAGCAACCTTTGTGAGTAGTTCTTTTATGAGAATATACTGCGATACCACGTAACCTCTTCAAAATCGGAACAAATTGCCATTCAGACAGTTTTCTACGACAGCACAGTCAGTTGTTAACAGCGTCTTTGGCCTGAACTTTTTTCCAGTAATCGAAACAGCTTGAAAACATTGAGTGATAATGATGAACATACGACTGAAGCAAAAACATTCGACTCACTTGTGAATGAAAGCGACCGACTCACAAAAATCGCAGCCACGTAAGATGACACTCGGTCAGAGAAGAGAAAATTCCCCAACGACAGATGTGTCATTTGCTATCCCACCAAATGCGGTAATTTTTGATGAACTATGGATCTTCCGCTGTTTTTGCAGGTTCATGATTTCATCTCCACAAGCCGATAGTTTTTAGATGTGAAGGACTGCTTTTCATTCGAATAGCTTGCCACTAAACAAAAGCAGGCTTCTTTTGTGGGGTTCGTCCTTCCCTACTCTCCATACATGCGCTGAAGGTGAGAAATATGGTTGGTAATCTCATCAAAATATCCGCCGTTTTCTCCAGCAAGAGTCCATAGTGCATCGACCACGTGATGCCAGTCCTAAGGATCAAGTAAACAAGCCTTTGAAACTCAGGAGAACGGCATGTACTTTAGGCTCAGGAGCAGAAAGCAAGTGCCATGGCTCGTGTCCTGAGAAAGGAAGCCTTGCAATTTAATGGTGGCCAATATTTACAAACCCACACACAAACAGATATGACTCTTCCATTGGAGATTGTAGTAAAACCATGTCCGGATAAAGTTTTTCAGGCTTCTTGAAATTCAGGTGCCCTCCTGAAACCTCTGTTTTAGAGACTGGCATCTCCGAAAGGGGACGACGATTTTACCTCAACCCGATTGTCTTTATCGGGGCTTTACCCTATTTACCTCGATGCTGGTACATTTAATCGACAAGAACAAAAAGTGAAATCAACGAGATACACACTAAATGTTATTTTAATACAGGAACACCATGACAATGAGGCCAAAGAATTGAGAATGCATATTCTGGTGAAGTATCCATTCGATCACGTGCTGAACGCCGGTTTGACTTCATTTCGAGATTAATCCTTGTATCTGAAGCTCTAATTCCATCCTCCGTACACTCGACGGTTTGACTAACCTTTATGTATGTACTTCCAGTTGTTCAACCCTTCAGAAACGGATATTGAAAATACTGCGGAACCCAAAGAAGGACTTGAAGGATCTTCCGCTACGTTCGCCGCACCCGTCCCTTCTGTTCCTGGAAAAGTAAGCTATGCGTAGCTCATGCCTTTTTAGTTGGTTGGTTGGGTACTACAGCTCCTTGGAAACGTTGTCCCTGTGCATGTTAGCGCAGTCTAATCCCGAACCTTATTCCACCGACGCCCGCAGAACTCCACAAAAGTATTTTCCGTTGCAGGCTGGGTTGTATTGATCCAGTTACGCTATCTAACACCCGATACCCTAGTCACTACTTCTAGGTTCCACATACCAATACGCCTTTGGTTTCCTTTCAGCCAGTAGGGCATGGCTGCAGCTTGTTCACTTTGCTGCTTTGACCCATAATCTAAGAAATCGGTACGATCGATGCATTTGTGGATGCTCCAACAGCGTCTACGCATGACTACAGTGAGCATGCACACGACAGGAGTGGAGCTGATATCACTCGCGGTTTAGCATTGTTTTATGCTCTTCACTGTGTCGCCTTAATTCAGTTGCTTCAGGGTGGATTGGGCAACTCCTTCAAGTTCTGACGCACGTCTTTCCTTCCAAAGACACTTGAGTCGGTCTGCAGAAATAGTGGGTCCATCCGATTCCATAAAGTGTCTTAGGGCCGTAGTACTCCAAGCAAGAACCGACGTTGCCTCGCTTACCTGAATAGATGACCCGTTAAGCTCCCTCGCCGCTTAGCCAGGCTTCCAATGTCACAGTACAGTCTGCTACTTATGTAGTCACCTTTGGAGATGTCTTGTTCACCGCATTCTATTGTGATGAACACACCACCAAAGATGAGCGAAAGTATATGTCTAGCCGGTAGGTGGGTTGTCACAGGATTGGTTGTTGTTTTTGTAGGGAAACCGACTGAACCCTCATTTCAGGGTGTAATGTTGTGCTACTGATTCGCGAGTTGGAATGTCATCCTGGCAAGACATTGCTCCATGGTGAATGAACGGAAGCCTTTGAACACCCTAAACGGATGATCTTTTTCCTTCAGAGACGTGTGAACCGGAGCCATCGCCGCGGGCTCCATGCTGGGAAACCGGGAAGTATCCTGTAAGCACATGTACACGTAGTTCTAAATAAAGCCTCTCAGTTCGGATGTTCAATTGTCGCACAACCTTGATCGGAGTGCTACCGGTCGAAAGACTCAGACAGTCTCTTGGAATTGTGTTGAATCTCCTGCATCACGCAGCGTCACCTACCCAACACATTATCCGCAGACATAGGTATCAGCCAGACAGGAGAACAATTGGAAGGTTAGTTATTACAAACGCCCGTAACCCTATAGGAATACGATGGAATGACTACCTAACAAAGGAGGGATACCGGTGTAAGGAGGGTGCAATTAGGACTAATACAGCGACTCAACACAGCAGTAGAACAAAGGGTTATGTTTACCAGAGGAAACAAGGTAGTCACAAGAATTAAGAACAGGCACATAAATGAAAAACGATTGCAAGAAAGCATGGATAAAGGGGCACATCGTTGGGGCGTTGTATCTATTTGTCGGATTTCCCCCTATACCATGTGACCCTGCCTCCAAACAAACCGTATTGTGGCATCCCACTTAGAAGTCACACTCTGTAAAGAGTTCAGTCTCAATCACCATAGACATGAATGGCTCCCCAGGCTGACTAGTCGGTTCAGTCTGGATTCATACCAATTCGCTCAGTATTAACATTCGATATTCCTCAGGGTGCTGAGTGACGAGGAGTGGATAGGTGGTATTCGGTGATCACTCGAACGTCGATAGTGCTGGAAAAGTTCGTAATGCTAGACTCTTTGACAAGGTTCAGGTCGCCCGCTTCATATAGTCACGCCTTTTACGTGTATTCAGCCTAAAGATGACCAGTAAAACCGACAGGCAGAGTGATTTGATTCACTGCTTTTCTTGCACGTTTGACTATTGGTTATTCCTGCGGTAGGAGCTCATTCATCTCTTCATGCTTCCTCTGTTCTAGCCACCCCGCTACACCGAAGAGCTCCTGCGCAGTGCAAAGCCAGGCGGATTACGTGAACGGGTTCTTCGCCGATGCTTGTCCCCTATTCAGGTTACTCCTCACAGCGGTGTGAAGGTGTGTTGTACGACACTTTTCGTCACGCGTTGTGTTTGATTGCTTTCGAATCTTAGGTCCGCTCACCACGTGCTATTCTGCTACCCAACCAGACTACAGTTTCCGATTTATCTGGCTACCGCCACTCCTTGGAATTGGGAGCACGCGTTCATTTAGCATACTTTTAACATTCGGTTCTACGGCACTGGTGAATGCTACCGCTGGAGCGCGAGTCACCTGGATCTATTCCGCGGAGGTTAACGAGGAAAACACCCTACTTTCATGACACACCTGGTTCTTTATGAACACAACTCAGCTGAGCAGTTGATTGCCATGTGCTGCGCTTGTTTTATGTGTAGCTCTCAGTTCCATGATCAATTACACCGGTGATTGTTCGATTAATGGATAATTTTAGAGCTGCATTTTTGAAGAGAGAATCTGATATAATTAGCTCATATAGATACTGTCCTTGCGTTCATTTGGTCTATGCCTTTGTCCTTCCTAGATATCGTGTTTTCTTTCCGTTTCATAGCATTTGTTTCCCTCGATGGTACACCAACTACATGCATTCATTGTCTTGTCTCCTGTAGCCGACGCACCCAAGTGAACGCCTGTTGTGGAGTGTACAACCACGTCACGCAGCTAGCCATCTACCACTTTCCATTCCGCCAACTCCCTCCAATACTGAAGAGGTTTGTCTTCACCCTGTTTTCTCTTGCATGTAATTTGTAGCTGTCGTGTTATTTCGCTGTGGCTTTTTTGTTTTGTCGATTCTAGTTCGGCATCCCTAGTTGGATGCTCCCTGTTGTAGACAAAGCCTTTCTTCTTCTGGTTATTCCTGCGGTAGGAGCTCATTCATCTCTTCATGCTTCCTCTGTTCTAGCCACCCCGCTACACCGAAGAGCTCCTGCGCAGTGCAAAGCCAGGCGGATTACGTGAACGGGTTCTTCGCCGATGCTTGTCCCCTATTCAGGTTACTCCTCACAGCGGTGTGAAGGTGTGTTGTACGACACTTTTCGTCACGCGTTGTGTTTGATTGCTTTCGAATCTTAGGTCCGCTCACCACGTGCTATTCTGCTACCCAACCAGACTACAGTTTCCGATTTATCTGGCTACCGCCACTCCTTGGAATTGGGAGCACGCGTTCATTTAGCATACTTTTAACATTCGGTTCTACGGCACTGGTGAATGCTACCGCTGGAGCGCGAGTCACCTGGATCTATTCCGCGGAGGTTAACGAGGAAAACACCCTACTTTCATGACACACCTGGTTCTTTATGAACACAACTCAGCTGGGCAGTTGATTGCCATGTGCTGCGCTTGTTTTATGTGTAGCTCTCAGTTCCATGATCAATTACACCGGTGATTGTTCGATTAATGGATAATTTTAGAGCTGCATTTTTGAAGAGAGAATCTGATATAATTAGCTCATATAGATACTGTCCTTGCGTTCATTTGGTTTATGCCTTTGTCCTTCCTAGATATCGTGTTTTCTTTCCGTTTCATAGCATTTGTTTCCCTCGATGGTACACCAACTACATGCATTCATTGTCTTGTCTCCTGTAGCCGACGCACCCAAGTGAACGCCTGTTGTGGAGTGTACAACCACGTCACGCAGCTAGCCATCTACCACTTTCCATTCCGCCAACTCCCTCCAATACTGAAGAGGTTTGTCTTCACCCTGTTTTCTCTTGCATGTAATTTGTAGCTGTCGTGTTATTTCGCTGTGGCTTTTTCGTTTTGTCGATTCTAGTTCGGTATTCCTAGTTGGATGCTCCCTGTTGTAGACAAAGCCTTTCTTCTTCCGAGGTTTGAAAAATGGCAGAACGTCACATAGCATTTGTGCCTCAATCCACTGAAGAATGTCACTTCATTTTCCACGTTTTATTGTACCTTAGGATTTTACTCCCCGGTGAAACCGTGAAATCCTCTCGTCTCCCGCGTGTCAAGTTACCTATCCGCAACAGTTGGCCGTTTTCTCTCCTAATGTTGCCTTCAGGGTTCCCCTACTTCGTCATTCCAACTCTAGAAAGTGTCTGTGTATTTTTCTCCGTATCGGTGTGCCAGAACTCCTCGACACACTGTTTCTTTTCTATTAGTCTTCAGCCCCGAATCGGCATCTTTTGTTGTCTGCTGGATCGACCGGCCTCTGTGATTGCGCTGATGGACATTCCATTTCTTCGGCTCCGCTAAACCCGTCCAATGCTGAAGAGGTTCGTTCCCATGGTGATTGTCGTATTGTGACTCACAAGATCTAGCGTCTCACTAGCACTCATTGACCTGTCTTTTTATTTCTTTCCATATATTTTATTCATCCCCATCAGGCTCCCGTTCCGATTGAGCATCTCCTCCGAAGTGCCAAACCGGGCGGCTTTCGGGAACGAATCCTCCGACGGTGTTTATCACCCACTCCGTTCGCAACACCTCGTTCAGATGCAAAGGTACGCTAAAGGTCCCAGGTATTAGTGGTTTTGGTGCTCCCGTTGGTTTCCAAGCCGTTCACTGAGCTTGACAGTCATTTTCCGCACGTTTTGTCCCTAGTCGGAAAATAAACCACCAGTTTTTCGAGCCAGACAATCTTGGAATCCCTGGGGAAGGAAGTGGGACGAAATCCGAATTTGGAACTCGTTACTTCCCGAAAAATAAGTAGTAGGTTTCCCGTGTAGGTATTTGCAGCATTGACGGTCCCTAAAGTGCTAACCGGATACCTTGTTGCATTCTTTTGGTATGCCGCGCTCTTTAAGTTGCATGCTATATACATGACGGTTTGCATAGCCGGTACACTCCCGCACGACCCATCAACGACCCCAACCTGATCCAGTCGATACACCCTTTAAGGTAGCTGTTTTGTGGTAAGTCACTGCAGTTTATGGTTTTATGTTTTTCACAAAACAACTGCCTTAAACGGTGCATCGATGATGCACACAGAGACCACAGAGACCATCCAATGCTGGTCGCTACATCAACCGCCGTGCGAGTTTTTTCAATCGTGCTCTCGGGGGGTGCATCGATGATGCACATACCCACAGAGACCATCCAATGCTGGTTGCTACATCAACGGGCGTGCGAGTTTTTTCAATCGTGCTCTCGGGTTTTGCCCTATTTCTGAAATACTCTCAGGTCTTTGTTAGTCTTATATACTGATCACTTGTTGTTGTATAATTTCTGTAATTTGTATAGTTGTATAAATTATCCTCGATCTACCGTTGTGCTGAACCCTCCTCATTAGAATAAGGTGCGTTTAGTTGGTTGCTAACCTGTGCACGACACGATCGAGCTAAATCAGATACTTATGTATTTTTTATTCAACTGCAACCCCCAAGTGGAACCTACGATATTCACAAAGGTTGACCTTTCCATCAAACTAGTTGAACAGCAATGTCACCTCATTGTTCCAATTGGACCGTATCACCTTTGTTTTGGCAATACGACGACGATTTCTATGTACAGTAACGGAATTCGACGATTTTTGCTCGAACATTCTTTCGCGTGGGTTATTCTTAAGGCAAATTTACTGGTTCACAAAATTAGACTAAATCGTTTCCTCGATTAGGGGTTTCCCTAATTCATGGACGACTTTAGTACGACTACCATTTAGCCTAGTCGTCACAACTCTAGATCATTCTAATTGACTTTCTGTTGTGACTTGTTAACGATCGTGCAACTCAAGAATCTCTGTGAGGGGGCCAGAAACGTCCAGTCAAAAATGCTCGACTCAGATTGGCTGGCATTCTGACCAATCAGGGCATGGCTTCGTTTGGCCCGTGTCCTGCACGTGACACATCCGTCCAAACGATGTGATGTTGGGTTATTAGGGACGGCTGGCCTATGAAAACTTTTGCTCAAGTTGTAGATGGTTACGGGGTCTGCAACGCGTCCATGCATGTCCCTCTTGATTAATAAGTCTTCCTCTTGTCCCATCCTCTCTTTGATATGGACTAACCGGAATAGTTGAGGACGTCAAATGGAGGGCTGTTTAAATGGGATTGCTATAAATACAAGTTTCCGTTTTACTTCTATCGTAGCAAACGCCGCAATCGATTCCTTAATTTTTACACATTCGATTTACGGATCAGTATTTTCTCCTCAAACCCATTGATTTATTTCCTTGATTCGCCCTCTCCCTTCTCTCTATTCTGATTATCAACAGCATCCGAAGCACAACTCCACAACCTCACAGAAAAAGGTCACTTTTCTATGATCTTCCCGTTTCCCGTCCGATTCCCGTATCCTCAACGTATGATGCTCACCTGTACTAATCTAAACTACTTGTTCCAATCAGTTTACTTGTTCATTCTTTTATTTGGTTCGAAGGGGAGAACACGGTTGGGTCAAAAAAAAATACATTTATATCACATGATATCTGTGAAAGTTTGTATTGCTCAGGTCGTCGGTCAACTTCGCCTGATATCGCGAATCATTCCGCGCTCCAAGTTTCGAATATTGATGGCCCGTTCGCTGTCCATGTAGAATCCATAATTGGCAGCTGATGTGTTTGGAACTGCACGGGGTTCTAAACTGGTAACGCCTCGGTTGTTTCGGTTCGGTCGATAGTTTCCCTTCACAATCACGGGAAAAAGAACAAACAAATGACCAAGTAGAGAATAGATTGTGTGTGATTTGCCAAAGAACAGGATGAAAATTCCACTGGATCTGAGCTGTTGCTTTTGAGTTCAGTTTCAGCTATACATCATAACGATAGGACCCCGAGTGATTCGCCACTGGAAGCCTTTGGTTTGCTTTGTTGAGTTGTCTGTTTGTCCTCATTACTAATTAAACTTCATTTTTCATACGGAGTCAGGTCTTATTTTAATTTCATTGTAATTGTTTTTTATTCGTGCATCTTCCAACGACCAACTTCGCACTCAGGACATTCCATGGTATTAAGCCTGCAATAGTGTTAGAAGTGACTGCCAGTGTAAAAATCAGGCTAAATAATGGCTAGCGTTGGTTACCCTTATGCGTGTGTTTTCGCGTGGTATTCTAAGTGATATGGGCTGCCAGACCTCAGCTGTTCAGTTGTCCCCATTCGGCTTGAAAATGGCTAGCGTTGGTTACCCTTATGCGCGTGCTTTCGCGTGCTATTCTAAGTGATATGGGCTGCCAGACCACATTGGCGTATACCGTGGGTCTCAGCTGTTCAGTTGTCCCCATTCGGCTTGACAGTTATGGGCCACCGTTTGAGCCTTCTGATAGCTTCAGAACTGTTCACCCTCCGATCGTATTTCCTTACGTGCAGGCGTTAGGAAGACTCTCATTCAGGGCCACAGCTCAGCTTGGGGAATCAATAACTTATCCTCATTGAAGTGATGTTTCATGCTTTTAAGACTCCAACTTGAAACCGCTTGGTTTAGGGGATTGAACGCAAACAGGTTTCCATATGTGAACGTGAATGTTACAACCTCTCAGCACAAGACCGGATAATTGCTCGGACATTACATCTCTTACTCGTGAGACTTCCAACTACGTTTTTGTTCCGTAGGTATTGTTGTCTATGGCGAATTCATTACATACTTAATGCCAGCATACTTCATCCTTTGGAAAGGTCAGTACACTCCCTTAATCCTGAGAAAAGATTTAACCCAGCATTTGAAGAGGCTGTCACTCAATCACGATTAGATTATCAGCGGAAAGTGGTCCATCTAGCCACCAACTAGTATTAGTTATCTGGTTTTAGTTGAATTATGGAGTGTCAACTTCTCAAACGTAAGACTCATTTGATGCATTCTGTTTTCGTTTGGTTGTATATTTCCGGGCCAACTCATTTGCCAAACAAGTACTAAAAGTGCTCACGGACAAAGGTCCCGATATTCTTCACATGAGACACGGCTCTGTTAAACGTTTTGTGCTCGTGTCATCATTGCATCATCGCTTACTTTCGGTATCCGTGGCAACGGTCTGCGTTATGTTTAGATGATTAAAATGCAACCAGATCGAGCTGGTTCAGGAACGCCTCGGTCCAAGTTGATCGATGAAATTCCTTTGTCCAACATTTACGAATAAATATCGAACCATCGTCTATGGAACATGTACGCATCAGAGGCGTTTACACTATTGTCCACTTAGGTTTTATTGGCATTTCCCACCTCGTACCCGTAGTGACCAAGCGGTCACTGACTCCAATGGCTGTCGAGTTGATGTGACCTGGTGCTACAAGGTGTGCTGAACGGATAAAATGTGGGTAACAAATTTCTTACGACTTACGTAGTAATCGTAATCCTTCGTGAATCCCCAAGTTAGATTCCTGAAAAAGAGGCACTTTGGTGAGAACACATTTAGGTCCGCCGACCACTGTTCAAGAAGTTTCACTACCTTCTCGTCATCAGTAGTATGAAAATACCTCTCGTATGAATAATTTAAAGGGATCTTCATGCCTTCACAATATCGCGTCACAACGGGCGTGTATCGTACAATACCAAACATCTTGCAGCAATCACCTGATACCCCAGTACTAGCTATATTAAGTAGTGCGAAGACACTTGAACACAAAACTCTCGCATAAAAAATGTTAAGTTGTGTAGGGTCCTCTAGAGCGAAGCTAGTATGCTTTAAATTGAATCGCAAAATCAAACTCGTAATGCACTGGCCTGTCCTAACTTGCTGGTGCGCCCATCAAATGAGGCTGCTGCTATAGATGGGGAAAACCGCCCACCATCCTGCGGAAATGGTGGTGGGGCGGGAAAACCGCCCACCATCCTGCGGAAATGTTTGGAACCTACCATATGCGACAATCCAGCCTGGTGTACCGTCAATTTTCGCCAGATTTTTTGTCAGTAAACAGATTGACGATGTCTTGCAATCTTGGTAGCTCGGATGAACTTCTTAGTGGGTCCGTTCCTCAAGTGATCGACTGCTTGATGCCTGTTTCGCGGAACTTGGAATGATCTGAAGTAGTGATCTTCGACGGGGGCATTCGCACCGCCCTGTGAGACTACTCAAATGTCAAAGTGGTTGTTTCGCTCAGGTGGTTGTGGGAAGGCGGTAACACTCACGGAGCAGTGAGGCATGAGGTGTGCCACAGAGATGATGAATGTTAGTACCAAATAAATAAAGCTTAATAGCAAGAAGTTGTACTCCTTTTATCTCGCTGGTAGTATCACCGATGGCTCAGTGTGTTGCGACTTCATTATCGCCTCCTGATTACCTAGTCGGAGGGCTCAGAACGAATTTAGATTAAGAAAGTTTCCCGCCTTTATATGTCCTGCATGATGCATAAAAGTGATGAATTCGTGGACCTATGTTCAGTTTAGGTGAGGCTCCCTAGCGCCGAATCACATTAGTTGCCTAATGAAGTGAAGGCACATCGAAGGCGATAAGTTTGATGCAGGCGAGCCGCTGACCAATCGACTTAACCATGTCTGTTAGTGTCACTGGTCAATGATTTGTCGAATCCCTTTATCCCAATCGAGGGAGGTGCCACTTGCCAGAACGGATGAATTTTACTGCTTGCGCCTTGTTTGCATCGGTGTGAGACCACAGACTGTCGCTTCTGCTCATCAGTGAGCCCGGCAAGGGAGTTTTTCGAGGAGAATGATCATTCCAACTAGTGTGACCAACTCATCCATCTCCCTGGGGATTGCGGATAAGGTCAGTTGAGAAAGTATACTGCTGGCCACTTGGAGGGGATACATGAGGCTGGAAATCCGAATGTTTATGCCAGACGCTCTCGCCCCAGTTTTGGCGATATGGTGGAATGTAATCCCCCGGCTACCCACAACTAGTTTGTTTGAGGCGCAAGGTCGAGTTGTCCACATTCATTCAACTCAGAATTTATTGCAGGTTATCACCAACAACTGTTAATGGTCGATGGGTGGTGATAAGTGTATAGACTTGACTGAAATACATTCACAACAGGCTATCCAGCTCTCACCAAACCCCTCAGGCTACTCTAACTCAACCTGTATTTGTTCATTATTACTCCTCTGTATGGATTATCACAAGAATACGTGGCCTCATTTCACCGACAAGCCCACACACACCTCTGGTATATTTCACGCCAAACGACTATTCACACAATCGTCTAGAATCGACTCAGTTGCCCGTAACTCATGCTGAACCGCACGGTCTCCAAATTGACAGCGCAAAAAGCTGGGTCATGCGCTCCGAGTACACATGCACCAAGATCACTCGACACAACAAGGCTATCACAGCTGAGGGCAGTCACACAGGCACGGTAAAGAAAATAGTTTCGCATACCTGAAAAAAAAACAATCATAAGCAAGCTTCACAATGGGAGACATGTTTCTTGTAACGATTTGCGAATAACCTTCGGACCAAGGTTCGCTTTTCTATGGTACCACAGTGAGAACAGACAAACGACAATAAGTCCTAGACTGGTTTGATTGCTGAAGCCTTTGAGTTGTTATGGTGCTGTCAAACTAATATTTCAATTTCCATCATACACTTACAGTAGAAAGTTGTTGATTTGGCCCTTACAACGATCTCATTCAAAGCAAAGTCTGACTAGTATTTATGACTTCACAATTCTCTAGTTGGGTGACAAGTCCAACTCTTTGATTTTCCATAGTTTAGGCCCAATAGACCCCAATAGATTGCCGTGGGTCAAGCGAATCTCAGTGTTTCTACTATGAGATACGCCGAACATGCAAATAAAAATTGAAGCGCAGCAGACATTATTGATCTGATAATACGTAATGCCTCGCGATTAATTTAGAAGCTACTCGCAAAATTCACTCATTCAAACGTCGTGGAAAAAGAATAAGTCATGCTGCGGTTTCGGGAATCCGCTGATAGTGGTCTGGGGGACGACGCTAACGGGATAGATTCATCACAGTTGTTTTTCTAGCGTAGCGTTAAAACTAAGGTTTACTCAAATTAGACAACGTAGGTCACCGAGAGCCTGTTTACTATGGCAGCTGAATAAATTGAGATTACTGTGACCTTGCTTCTTTACTCCGGCATTTGGAGAATGATGTAGTGTATTGATTCCAATGATTTGTTTAGCTATCGTGCATCGGTTCTATTTTGAGGTGGATACCTTCGTCATTCTGCGTCGGCCGGAGGAACCTTTTGGCTATCAAGGCCCCGTTAATTGCACGCATGCACGGTCTACCACCTACGGTAACTTTCCTAGGGCTGACAGAAAGTACATTTCTTGCTCGGTGTCTGTCCGTCCAGTGGTGAATGCTTCCGCAAATAGCGACAGGCCACCCGCGGAACACCAATACAACCTTTTAATTTGTCTTCGGTCGGTTACGAGGACTTCTACTCCTAGAAAGCAGATTTCATATCTGTTGACATCCGCTTGGTCCGACGAGTAGGAATAATTGACTGCATTCTTCCAACTCGTTATACCCAAAACAACCAACAGCCATCAGTTGTTCAGAGTTAGAAGAGCAACTGCACTCGGTATGTCAAAAATGGGTCCAACACTTATGAGACGCATTCACTGTACCACATTGAAAAGTGGCATCGTTCCATCAGTGGTCACGGCGATTGAGATATATTCTCCGAACAGCGCCCCGATTAGTCATCTCACTGCGTGAAAGCTGACTTCGATGAGAATCAATAACACCTACAAAACCTTTGTTGAAATCGGCAACACCTACAAAACCTTTGGTGAAATCGGCCTCAAAAGTTAGACTTACAATCCTTTAGTGTATAACGTTCTCCTTTGACGTTCTGTTGCCACTGTAGACAGTGAAGTGTTTGTCCTCGTTCTGTTTCCACCCAAATGTGGGTTCATTGAATGAAAAACTAAAGACGCTCACACTTCATTAGCAAATCCAGGATTCGTCAGAGAAATGACCAGCCTCTTGATTGACTAGCTGATTTAACCTGACATAACTTTCTATCTTCTCTGAGAATGAGCATGCATGCCAAGTGAACAAATGCGCTCTCGGTTTATTCGAGGGCAATTCTCGATGGTAATGGGAGAATCTGGCAAGTTAGGTTCTGAATGGTGCCCAGTCAGTACTGAAACTGCTTCCACCATAAGGGCCACTAACTAAACTCATTTTTGCTCTTGAGGTCGACAGTCAGCTTGGTTAGAATCGTTTCGTCTCAACAATGTTGCTCCTGTCCTGGTGCAAACGTTCTGCTGGTTCACAACGGTCATGAACTTGTTCAACTGCTCGTGCACGGAAATTCAAGTACGTTTAGCCTGCATTCGTGGCGTAGTGATAACACGCCGTCAGACATTCTTATATCACATCTCGACAAGGCCGATGAGCTCTAGTAGGAGCGAAACTCCAGTCCACCGCTTCCCCTATCTGGTATGGACTACCCAGAAGAACTACGCCAGGACACGGAAAGGACCAGTCAACCGGGAGTGATGTGAATGCAAGCTTTGCTAAGCTCGCAACGACCTACAACGAATTGGGTGCGTGTATGACGCATACAACTTACAATTGGTCTGTCGTCGGTGACCTGTGAACTCAGTACCAGCAAAACGCATTTTGCAATGCCAAAATCACACAGGTATGCAGGCCCCTGACACCATAATCATACCCTCAGCCACAGTACTAAGATCACAGCCACGAACGAAACCATGCTTGCTTTCATCAAGGTCATGCTGACTAATCCAGTTAGTTTTGTGTGCACAATAATTGATTCGGTATGCTGGCCTTTGAAATTACGAATTTGATGTGGATGAATGAATATCGTGTTTGGTTGTGTTCACTCCACTGAAGGGTTCGTTATGTAGTCAAAGTATACCTGGCGTTGCTGAGTTATTCGCTACTAGCATTGTTGCGTTTCAAATGCACAATGGATCATCATGTGGTATTCATTCCCCCTCTGAAGCCACACAGTGATGTTACGTTGGTTAACTGGAAAAATAGTCCAAATGTGGGTAAAAAATTACCCAGTTTTGCTTCCCCGCGAATCTGATTCTGGAGTGAGAATTTAGACGAAATTCAAGGGACTAGTCCTCAAGACCTTCAGATTCACCCATTTTTTAAACGGAAAGCTGAACCCTTCTAGGAGTAAGGCCACCATAACATGCGCACTGACCCCATCAAAGGAAATATTTCACCTATTCCACCAAAGCGATCAACGGAAGACCGGAACTAATCATTAAATCTAGCCCAAATTTTTGGGAACGAAACAACTGCTTGAATTTTACGCGTCATTGCAAGCAGAATAGGGTCAAAAAATGATATCCATTTCTGTGCGTGGACATTTTTGTCTATGTCGGTTGAGTTTAGTCGTAAACTTTCTTGCCAAAGGCCACGTGTACAATGTGGTTAGGACTACGAGGATAGTATTTCTGAATATTTACCATAAAGAGGCATTACCCCGAGTGTGCCAGGAAGGAGGCGTTACCCCGAGTGTGCCAGGAAAATATATTGGCATCTTACCAGTATTTATCTATACGTCTCTGTTTCTCAATAAGTTCCGTCAAAATCTTCATTTTCTGAACATCCGACTTCTCGTGCTCACCAGGAGTGTTGGCTTCGACTTCCTGTTCCAATCGTTGTGAACGTACCATTTGCACAAACTCTCCAAAAACCGGTTCGATGTCCTGGCATGGTAGAGGTGAATTGATGAGGTTAAAAATAGTGTGAATTCTAAACTACTGGAAACAAGACGCCCCGTAGCGCTCAATAGGAAGCAAGTAATTCGTAATGCGCTACTCATAAGGTTGCTGAAAACTCGTCACCAGCAACCTTATGAGTAGTGCATTACGAATATACATGTACCACGATATTTCGAATATCGTAGCAACTGAACACGAGGCGGCATGGCGCAGCACATTCAGTTGCCTGGAGACATCACAAACGGGAGGTCCAGCTGGGTTACTGGTGAGGCTCTCGCAGAACCAAATTTGTTTGCAAATGAGTGCATTGCTCTAATCACCTAACTACTCACCTGAAGTCTGTGTGTTCCGCAATTGTTTTTAAAAGATTTTAGTATGTACCGTTAAAAACAGTTCATACAGCCGATGGTACTCGGGTGAAGTGCCTCTGAGCACCACTAGGATTTGGTCCACTGACTCGCAAACGTTATCAGAGAAGTGGGTTTGAGCTGGCTGGATGTAAAAATTTATGAAAATTTGTATCAAGCGCATATTTTTAGAGCACTTATTTTTGCAATCTTTTGTCTTCACCGAGTCCCAACTTCAGGGTGAAATGTGGTTTTGACAGTGAAGACTTGGGCCGCTAATTGAGAAAGAGCTCTTATCGGCTAGAAATTTGAGGATACCTGCAAAAACGAGCCAACTGCAGTGTGATGATGTGTCTAGTGATGTTCTGGAAGACCGTGTATTACAAAATCAAGCAGGGGGTAAATGGATTCTTTCAGATTTTCTCAGATCTCACCCACTTTGCTTCACAAACTGGACTTCATAGCACGAAGTCCTCATTTGGCCTGATCGTATTAAAAAACACCTGCTCCTAGGTCAAGTTTGGTACGTCACGAAACTCTCAATATGGACCACGTATATACAAGTCCAGACACTCACTGTGAGCGAATTCTAAAGGTATCCGCACCGCTGAGCTCCGGTCATTCATGCTAACTTGCCGGTCCGACTCCGAAAGTGTTTTAATCTATGGTTGGTCCAATGAGTGATTATGTCGCATTCCTTTCATCGCTTCTAACACTCACCCGAATCCCTTTAATAAACGCACTCTTATTTTCCTAATAGAATGTGATCAGAACCATTAAACCTTCCGATCGATTTCGTATAGATCGGACATGAGTAAGCTGCTGTCAGTCTACCAGTGGTACAATGACACGACTGTGTAAATTGTCCTACCCTACTCCGCCAAAAATCGCACAAAACATGGCCGACTTACCCTAGACTAGAACAAGGGTCGCTGAAACCCAACAGTGAAACTGTACACTCACTCAGGACTTGGAATTTTTATTGTCATTTGAATTGGCCACCAAGTGTTCAATACACGGAACACGGATGTTTGGACTCATCCCCACTCGATTGACGGTTGCTGGCCAATCAGTGTTCAGTATCGAGGCCGGTAGTTAGACAATTAGTTGCAAGCGATTGGCTGGCAGCACTCGCTACCATCCGCATAACCACAGATGGGGGGTAATGTGGTTAAATTTTATGCAACCTCAAACAAACAGTATGTTTGATGGATGGAACAAATTCGTTATTTATGTTGGACAATGCATGATGCCACATGATATTTGCTTCATCTTCATGGAAACATCGCCTAATCAATAATCGGCCCAAACGAAACGATTTTCCGGGAATGAAGTTTAAGACTCTCATCTCTAGGTGGATAACATTGTCATCACCTGTTAACTACCACCAGATTTTTCCATTGTGGCTGGCTTTGCCTTGAAACACTGTTCCTAAGGGCGGGGAACGAAATCGAAACTCCCATGAAAACGAATCCAACGATCGGGTACTGATCTTCTCATTGTGAAAGACAAAAATCTCCTCAAAGTGGTACTTTGAAACAATGAACAATTTACTCAGCCCGAGGCTTAAAATCCTCTTTGCAGTTGCGTGTTCCCCCCGTAAGAATACCAAAGAGAGATCTTTCATGAATAAATGTATCGCCATCCTTAGATAGAGAGCATTCTTGGGAGCTAGCAAGTCGATCTTTCCTTAAACACATTCCGTCCTGAAAGAAACGGGCTATTCACTCCAGGCTACGACACTTTTATCCTATTGATTTGTTTACCCAGAGGCGAATCAACAGAAACTGAGTGGTGTAACTTTTCCTTGATTGATTCTGTTGTATGCGGCTTATGAAACTCGTGGTCGATAATTCCTATCGCAGAAACAGCATTTGAGAAGTGAACGAGTGCTAAAGCTGAAGGTTTTTGGTGTCTTCTTGTTCAGTGGAGTTTAGTTTTTCTCAGCGATGTCTCAGTTTCCGATAATTCCTCAACAACTTCTATCGTTTTCGGTCACCCACGAGGCAATGAGGAGATTTAAGAGAGTTAATTTCAAAACAGGCACCTGCCAAACTAACACCCTCGGTAGAAAACAGAGTCAATAGGTGAGTTTCAGTTTTCAAAATTTTATGCAAATAGGTTCTAGTCTTCATAAAGGAAATTACTCATGAGGTCGCTGAAAACTCTTCGACAGCCCACGATCAATTTTGCACTTCTTGGGACTCATCAAGTAGGGACAGTCCCCGAGTTTAGGTTGAAAGTTTGACAAAAACTCGGGGACTGCGTCTACCCGATAAGCCCCATGAAGGGAGAAACGTGTGTCCCCTGTTTACAAGCGAGACTGTATGGGGTGCAGGAGTGAAGAGTACACCTGATTTATGGCAAGCACTCTGCCATAAAGGAAAAGCGCGTTTAGAAGTGTTGCTTTGGAGATCGGTGGTCAGGGCTGAGATTGCTGAGTGGTTGCATATCATCTGTATATAAACAAATGGATTTGGTTTGAACTTTCTTTGTCCTTGAACTTTTGCGGCAGCATGCTACATTCATGGCTCTGAGGGATGTTGAAGAGAAGTGCAAACTGTGTGATGCGAACCGACAGTTGGTTTACAATAACAGACACCTGAAGAGCTTTCACAATGTAAGGTCACTGAGGAACTCTAAATCAGGAAGTGAAGAATGAATGAACAAAAATAAGTTTGCTGATTTGGATAAGCTGGTCTCATTTTGGAAACGCAGCTTTTTTGTTGCATTTTTTTCTTTCTCAGTGATATTTCTATCTCCAGAAACACCCTTTTCTGGGGGGAAGGTCGCATATTAGGTGAAAAACCGTCTTGAACTAGCAGTCAGAGTTAGGTGCATTCTACAGCTATATTCGAGCATAAAGCTGCATTGTACATGCGTTCTTTTCTACCGCATGAGTTTGCAATCGAGCAAACAGGCTAGGGGAAGTTTTTTGCACTGATCACCACGGCGTTACGGACCGGCTTGCACCAGGGCATTTCGGGTTTGGCTTTAGTATTTTTGAGATCTCTTCGAACTACTGGAGAAGCAGATACACTTGAAAACAAGTTTATTGTTAAGGGATGGCTCAGTTGGATCCCCAGTTTATGATATTTTTCTAACCATGAGAGGAACAACGAGAGTTGTTCAGAGAAAAACAGTCGAACTAGAGGACTGCTTATACACCAAAGACATTCGAAAGCATCAAAACCTCTCTATATTGCCTCATGAAATAAGGGTTCTGTGAGTTCATTGAAAATCGGAAAGCCTACATGTTGTAATAGTTCGTGAAAACGTTGTCGAGTTACAGTGTTGAAACCGATTACTTATTCTGCCCAAAATGCTTACAGTGTGTTGGGTACAAAAAGCCACAGAGCCTTGGGCAACGTCCATATTTTCCCTGAGGTTTTGTCAAAGACCGATTCTTAGTTGTAAATAATCTCAAGGTGCACTTGCCATTTTTGAGGTTGGACCAAATGACAGAGAATCCTGGGCTACTTCGCTTCTGTAAGATTGGAAGCCGCGGTGGCTTTCATCGCCCCCTACTCCTCGGAGGATCATCGATGTACACATTGTAGCTTCTACAGCTGGGTTTAAGGTTATTACGAGGCCTATGTGTATAGTTCTGTAGGACATTGTATAGATACATGTGGATTCGCCTTCTCAGGTTCTGACACCATTGTGCCTGCGATTAACCATGCAGAGTACACTAGTCGATGTACTTATACCTAGAGCAAAGCACGGGTCAAAATTAAATTGTGTCAACTTGAAGCCCGATTTGTCAGCACCGACCTCCAACTGGTTCATTCGTGATACTAGATCACGAAGGTGACAGTCGACGTTGAAAAGGACTCCACCCAACCGTGGGTTAACTTGAAGAATGCTCAAATCTTTAAGAGCCCCATTTTCACTACGCTATCAGTGATGAATTCGAAAGCGATACAGCGAAGCCCGCTGTACAATCAGGCGACATTTTGGTAAGCCACACAAAGTGTATGGTGTAGTTGGCAAACTAATTTGGCTTTGCGAAAGACTCACCTAGAACCTAGCTGAATCTCCCGTTTGTGATGGTTCCAGGCAACTGAATGTACTGCACCGAGCCGTCTCATATTTCAGTCGCTACGGTGTCCGAGATATCGCGATACATGTATATTCGTAATGCACTACTCACAAGGTTTCTGAAAATTCGTCGATAGCCCTTGCCCAGTTTCGCCCTTCTTGAAGATCATCAGGTAGGCGCAGTCCCCGAGTTTCCGTCAAAATTATGTTCCACTTGAAACCAAATTGCACGAAATTAGCGAACTACACTCATTTGCAAACTAATTTGGTTTTGCGGGAGACTCACCTGGAACCCAGTTGAATCTCTCAGTTGTGGTGTTTTCCGGCCACTGTAGTGTTTAATCAGGTTGGAAGATCTTGGTTCAGCATGTAGATTCACAGTCAACCGCATGATTCCCTAAGAGATAAGAAGAATTAATTTGACAAAAACGTGTGACTCTAAGTTCCGTTATGTAGAAAGTCTTGGACTTGTGATTCCCTTTCGATTTTCCATGACACTGTGTTGTATGGACACGCTCTTCTCCAGAAAAACAAAACCATATAAACCATATGGCTTCGTAACATTTCAATAACTGCCTAAATGTGATATTGAGAGTTTCTTGTCACCCTGTTTTGCACTGAAACACAATATTATGTTAAATGAGTATATTTCCAGTGGTAATTTTAAGCGAGCCGGTAACAATACCAACACAGGCATAGGAATTTAACCCAATGTCTAGGGTTGCATTCGGTGAAATCCAATGATGTCAGGGTAGTGGTCGAATATAGTCGTGGAAGTCATGAGAATAATGAAGGTAGCAAAAAAGCTTTTTTATTGTGATTGTTCTTCTTAGCTAATAAATCACGAATTGATATGGTACCAAAAATCACATTGAAAAGGTTGAAATCGAAGGTACATACACTTCAGGGAAATAGAAATCAACGGAAGGGAGTTGGATGAGGGATAGGTCAATCGGTCACAGAATCATGTAATTGACACGTGGTAATTTATCCTTCAGGCGGAAACTAATAGTGGGGCTGGAGTTGAAGCTCAAACACAGATTGGCAGCCAAATGTATCATATCAACAGAGTTTCTAAGCCATCTGGTAATTAGTTCAGCAACCGAGTCACCTTTGAATGGAAGCTTCATGTTGACGGGCTTCTTCCCAACAGAACACTGTTTAGGTTTGGGTTTAACGGATGTCAAAGTAGTTCTTGACTAATCAACCCGATGCAGTGAGTGTTCTCTTAAGGAGAAGGTTCTTTTGGTCTATGGCCTTCAGAGCGGTGTGTATGGTGTTTTACGATGTTTTGGCCTGAAGCCTGTCACCATTCTGTTGATGCCGTAGCAGTGTCCTACCAAGCGCGTATTCACCAAAGACATCGAGACATCCTTTGCTTCCTGTGGTGATCCACCAAGGACAAGTCACAGTGCCCTGACTACTTTCGTACATGTTCATTTATTTGGAACCGCTTTTTATCCCAGATGTGCTAGTTTTACTTTGCAAAGAACAGCTGAAGGCAATACTGAAGAATATTTGTACACACGTGGCTTTGAGTCGGTGTGGACTTTGGGATTAGTTAAGAATTACCAGTTCCTAAACCGGTGTATAGAAGGTGACGTTGCCTCACGATATGAGGTTTGTATAGTTTTACTACTTTGTCATTATACCGCATTTGGTGGTAAACCTCCTGTAGGATCCTGTGCTAAGGTCGTGATCCCAAGGCGAATAATTGATTACTTAGCTTAAACGTACGATCTAGGAGTCCTATCTGATAGGTGCAGTCTAATTCAGCGTAGGACGTAATAATTGCGGCGAAACTGAATTCTACGAACTTCACCTGCGTCTGTTCAGTAGTCGCAGTTGGGCAGCAAACAACATATTGAATTAGACGCATAGATAGGTAGACCGTGGTTCTATAAGAAATTAACAGTAAATCGAGAGGAGAATTAAAGAAAGGCTTACGGCTAGATTGAACCTTGGGCAACACAGAATGGCACAGAAAAGGCAGCACGCTATCGGGCAAATTAAGCGGGAGAAATGTTGTACAGTTCAAAGTGGGACAAAATGTTCAACAACAAATCCAGAAATGAATGTGAATAAATCGAGTCATGAAAACAGTCAATATGGAATCGACTTTGTGTAAAATAGGGTAGTTCAGTATTCATTCTTAAGCACTCACCGGAAGGGTAATGAATTAATCTGAGGAATAGGGAAACATAAGTAATTATGTCATGTGATTAACACTATGGTTCAGCGGTTGTTTGAAGCGGCTACGTCCTTCTTCCAACATGACCTTAGCTAAACGATCTGCTACATCTAGGCTTCACAATGTCTCTGCGGTAGTCAACTGAATGATCAGTGATTCTGACAGTCATGATCTCATGGAAATGGTCCTTGTTGCCAGGACCCCAGTTCACATTTTCCGCATCCACAAGTAGGCCTGCAATAACCCACTCTCCGAGACTGATGTATTAGCTGTTGTATATGTTGGCGCGTCTGCTTCATAGTTCGCCCACGAAACTGCATTTTCTGTGCTTGAAAGCATGAGTTGTGACTAATAAGTCGGTAACTATTCTGCGATCGGAATACACTGCCACAAGTCTGGCCGTGGAGATGAGTTTGGATAATTTCTCTACATTCTAGACTTTCGTTGCTCGAAACAAACTTCAATCGTTTTCTTACGGACTTTGGGAATCACTTGCGTGCTATTCGCAAGCTGTCGCAAAACTGTCTTCCTCAAAAGCTCACTCCTAAAGATCTAACCTTGTTGGGTGTTTACGCGACTCCTGAGGAGGCATAAAGTTCTCGTTAGGCTGAACGTATTTCCTCGTTCACGCTTAGTCTTACTGGCCATCTCAACAGCCTGCAATTTTATTACAAGTGTCCTCATATTTGCTGCTATCTGTTTTCATGAGCTACAAATCTTGGTTGAATGTTTGGTTACCTATATTCAGTGACCAAGGCGGGCACTTCTCGCACTCCCTAGCCACTACAGGGCCGAAATCGTCTTCAGACAATATTTCACGACTTGTGCAGGCAGATATCTTCGTGGAAGAGCCACCACGTTTGCTTTCGGTTAATTGTTCTAGCAATGACAAGCGTCAGAAGTAACTGGGCCATAGGTGAAGTTCAGTTTGCACGTTATCGACACTGATGAATAACGGTATTTTACGAGTTGGTGGACTTCTTCAAAGGCATTGATTCTTCTTTAGCCAAATCACCCATTTATTCCCCTGTTGAATGATTCCGTTGCAATTGTAATGAATTAACTGGTATTGGTGCACTCCATTGACCTAACCAAATGGCATTTCCGAACCGCAGCCGTGATATATCCTGCAAAAACTCAAAAGTAGCCATCTGTTATCAGACAGTACTCCACGTAGCCTTTTCTGTAAATGATGGAAGTTTCAAATTCTGACAAAATTTCTGACCATACAACTCTGCTCAGTGTTTTTTTTGAATGGATTATTCTGATCTTTTTATGTCAAGGGTCAGAAAACTGCAGGCGTTTGTTTATCCACTGGATTTCTGGGGTAGTTCATCAACGGGTTGTGCGTTCGCGTTGTGTCAAGTCGTCCCTATGGGCTCTCTTCTGAATGGCTTTGAGACATGGCTGTCCACTTCGTGCACACAACGACAGCAGCTCCACGACATCATGAAGCAGAAAACGTACGAAGCACTTGGCACACGAATTTTGGGATGTCGACATGGCTGGACGTCTAATATGGCGAACGCTAACCATAATCGATATGTCTGGGAAGCACATGTCTGAATCATAAGACGATTGCTTCTGACCGTTTTTTCAAAGAAGCGGATGAATGAATTCCCGGTAAATTGGTATACCGAGTCCAAACATTTTGTAAAATGACAGACACATGACCAACTTATCCGCTGATCGAAACAACCAAGCTGATTAAATCAACTCATTGATTTCATTCGATGCGTAGCAACATAGGTATACATTCAACATTACACCAACATTTGCCATTAACGCATTGATATGCTAATGAACGGATCCTGGTATGGCACTATACTGCGAGAGGTGCTGTATCACGCCGAAGCTTGAAGGAACTGATGGAGAACACCTGTATGTCGACGATAACTGGTGCCGATATCCATTGTTACGCCGCCATGTTTAGACCAACTGATAGGTTGAAATAGATCTCTGCATGTCCCCAAAACCAACTTATTTCTTGGGATGCCAAGGTCTTGCATATAGCATCATATTCGACTTCATGCATGCCGTCTTTGGTTTTTCTATTGATTGGATCAATGCTGACCAGAAAATGCGCTTCAGACGCCAACCAGTCTTTAAGCAACACTATTCAATGTAAGATCATTGTATTCATTCGGGTTGAGTATATCTGGCGGTAGAACTTGGTCAAACATAGTGTTTGCTTGGTCGTAAGCTTCCAGAGACCATTAGACAGTTCTGAAAGCTGTTGTAAAATCTGCCGAAAGTATATGACATTCGGTTGTAAATCTGCTTCCTTCAAGAGGTTACTTGCCTTTAAACTGCCGGGTCTTTTTATCGACCGTATAGACAGTCCTCGGTTCTGTGATGCACCCACTTGCTACCATATGGTGCGGTGGGTAACCTGGTATACAGCGGAACTAATATTATAAGAAATATAAGGACGACAGACAAACACACTACTCATAATGTTGCTGAAAACCTTTCGCTCTTCTTGAGGATCATCAAATAGGCGCGGTTAACGAGTTTTCCTCATCTTTATGTTCTACTCGAACCCGAAGACGACAGAATTCAACAAGTACACTTGTTCGCACACCAATTCGTTTTCCACGGAAGATTTACTTGAATCCCACCTGAATCTCTAGTTTATGATGCCCTTCTTCAACTGAATGTGCTGCACCAGGCAGCCTCATCATTTAGTTGATACGATATTCGATATATTGCGACACGTTATATGGACGTAGCACACTACTCGAAAGGTTGCAAGTAATCCTGGAAACTAAAAAACAAACTGACGTTGTACGGAATATTTTTGCTGATGAGTTGCAGTGAGTTTCATCTACCTCTGAGAATGATACTAAAGCCCTCACGATACATTAGTTTGCTTTTGGCGATCCGTAATTACCGGTTTAACTAATTCAGGATGAGCTTGAGTTGGCCAAGTCTGCGTGACACCACAACCCATGTTTCCAGAAATACCCGTAGGAACATCACGAGTGATAAGGTGAGGAATTCACTATGGTTTGGACAGTTAATTTTCCCACTGAAGAGTTTTCTGGTAGCTATCTGGTTTGTCAGATTTGTGTCAATCTAGTTTGCACATTCATTCTTCTCTCCTTATGCACTTATCCTGGGAATCCATCACTAAAATGAGTCGAATTTCGCTCTCATTGAAGTTCATAACCAGTGCATGTTATGAGCCATAAAGAAATCTGGATAGCTTCGTCTGATATGCAGATTAAATGCATCACATCACCACCCGTGTATCAACACACCAGCGACACACTCCGTTCCCATGTGTTTGGAGGAACGTATCGAATCATCATCATCATCATCTTCATTATCATCATTGACAACATGACATAAGTGTTCAAAACACCGATGCCTTACTGACGTAGACGTGGCACTAAAGTATTGTTAGTTGTGAATGTCATGGTTGTATGTGGGCTGGGATACTGCCAGGGCGCCCACACCTAGACAGGAGGACGATTAGGGTCCTCAACCAAAGCATTTGGCTCATAAGCCTAACCGCAAGGCAGCGGTGTTTGGCGGGAAACGCAAATGTAATACCATTTCTACGGAACAAGTCGCCACATGTTCCAACCCGTAACTTGGAGGGCCAGGACACTGTGTTCATCAGACCTCTAACCACTGACCAACCTGGTATGATAGACTCTGTAAGTGTCACGGGGACCCTCCCCAGTATAGCTCAATGGATCGCTGAGGTGCGCAAACCGTCACACCACGGTAAGGTCCAGTCTCTTCGTGACGGAAGGTACCGACTAGATGAATCTGATCAAACTGAGCAGTAGGAATTTTGCTGCCAAATTTCTCGCCATACAGCAGGCTATTATGAACGGCAGTGTCGCTCGCCCGATATGAACGCGATTTGAATAGCAGGCCTTTCCAAGTTCGTGACAAGGTTCCACCGAAGTGTGTTTTGCGTCAAGTGGCTGGATGAACCTTGAGATTGGATAACATAATCCAGGTCAGTCCACATTGTTAATCTTACATTTCACGCCTTACCCAAGAGTGCACAACGAAACATGTCCAGAGGCACTGATCCAGCCACCTGTTATTTCTTCGCTTGACTGGCTCTGAACATTGACTCAGAGATGTATACCGCTACAGGCCTCTCCTCCACCACATATTGAACGCCACCTTCAACACTACTGGTCTGTATAGTCTGTGCATGATCAACGAACGATTATGCTCATTGAAAATCTGTTTTACTTTCAGAATCAGTCTATCAGCAGTCGTTCAGTCCCAAGGATCTGAATTGCCCTGTGAACCGCTTCACTACAGCTACTTGGTGTTCCTCCATCCAGTGTTATTCCCGGTTTTCAGATAGTTGGTTAGAATCCACTATCCTGGTCCCAGGAAACAAAGAGGGGTTTAGCTCCACCTGTCCACGCTGTCTGTGGTGGGCAGGCAAGCTCTCAACTACTTCTAATTGAGTGAACGCTAAGCACAGCATCAAAGACTCGGTCACGCTAAAAAAAACAGCTACCTCCAAATAGACTGAAGAAGTTTGCCGCAAGCAGTCCTACACCTTGGAAACGGGCCCCGCAATTCTACTAGATATCATGTTATCTCTCCTCATGGCCAGATTTTATCTCCAAATAAGCCAATATTCATCCACCAGTAAATCAATGGGGCGTTATTCAAGCTAACGCCCCAATCTTATCCGATACTGCTCGTACTCCAGTAAGCCATTTAGGCGAAAATACTAACAAAATTGCTTGGTTTCACCGGACGGATTATAGCCGTAGACTGATTGTTATAACACAAACAGAAGTTTTCTGAAGAAGGGCTTCCAACTGAGAATAGTTGCCAAGCTTTTGGAACAAATCACGCTCAATGCCAGTAAGTATCTGACCGACGGACCAATTTGGTTTGCTGTGAATAAAATCTTTGTGGAATTCGCCGAATCCCCTCATTTGCATACGAATTTGGTTTTGACGAGGAAGTTAGCTGATTTTCTCGTCTATGCCGGGAATTTCCAACTGAATGTGATGCACACAGGCTACCTCAGGTTTCAGTTGGTATGATATTCGAGAGGTAGCATACTGTGTAACTTCAGGACCTTTGTGAAATCTAAAAAAACAAACCAAATAGAGACAAAGGCCATTCATTGTTTGTCGTCACTATTTTTTATCATCAGGAATTCCTCTCCTGTCGGGGGAATTACCTGAAAAATATCAAGATGAGTAAGCACTGAGCGAAAGAGGCATTGAGCAATCGACCAGCGTTATTCGGAGAAAGGTTCGCTCCTTCAAACAGTGACAAGCGACGACGAAATAAGTACTGCTACTTTTAAAATGAGTGTGAT